GAACCACAATACTGATAAGTGATTAATAAAAGTCAAAAGACCAAAGAGGTCACCTTAATACCAAAAAAAAAATATATTATAAAATTTTTTTATTAATTAATAAAAAAATAAAAAAGATTTATTAATAGCATATATTAATTTTAGATAAAAATTTTAATATATCATGCATAACTATATAAAAATGATCTACATATCTTCTACCTATAAAAATAGAAGTATATAAATTATTTTTATATAGTTTTATATAGTATTTTGAAATTTTATATAAATTAAAATATACTACTTATAAAATTTTTTTAATTTACAATTAATTTTTATTAAAATTTTATAAAATATAAATAAAATAATTTATCTGATACTCTACTATAATCAGGACTATTAAATAACTTCAGTTATTTGATAATATATTATACATAAAATAGTCACTATAACTGACTTTAAAACATTATTAAAATTTTTATACGAAATCAACCAATTTATTTATTTATTTATTTTTTACATTATTATATTGTAATTATATAAATTAATGCTTTTTATATTTTTTAATAATCTTTATATATTTTGCATTAATATTATAGTAATTTTTAATAACTGTATTACTATTTTTTAACCTCAGCACTTGGTTACAAACTTGGTCACAAACTTGATCATTTGTTCTTTTTAAAATCTCTGGTTCTAAAAGTGATTAATCTATATATATTAGTCCTAAATACAATGGCTCTGATGTTTCTAAATGCAATGATTCTGATATTTCTGAATGCGAAGGTCCTGATAGTCCTGAACAAGATGGTCCCAAATGCATTAGTTTTGGATGTGGTAGTTCTGAATATAATTGTCTTGAATGTAATAAGTTTATTTTTAATGAATCTTTTAAAGTTGACTAAAATAGAGCAAAGACTAAAGACCAAGATAATACTAGTAAATTTGTTCATTTTCTTGGAACCTTTTTGTAATTATTGCTAGTCATTACTTGTTTTTGAAAATTAATTGAGGTTTTATTATATTCATTTGAAACTTGTTTTTATAAATTGATTAAGATTTCATTATGTTCATTTGAATCTTATTTATACAAGTTATTTGGTTTCTAATAAAAAAACTTGAGGCAAATATAAATGAATTTTTTTAAATAAATAAAAAAACTTTAGCTTCGAATTATTTAAAAGTACTAATCCAACATTATTAATTAGTAATAATAATACATCTTCTCTTTGTTAATCTGATGGCCATACATAAATGTGATATAATAATTCACTTCTGTATCTAGTTAAGAACATTGTTGTAGCTATTGGTACTCCTTTCTGGAATAAAAATGTAATTGGTGTTAAATGTTCAGAATAATTGACAATATCATGACCATTAATATCAATTTCAACTGCAATGCAAATGTCTTTCATTAAAGATCTATATGCATTTTCATCTAATTTAATATTGTAAAACCAAAGATCTTATATGAAATCTATATAGTAAAAAAAAAAACTATAAAAAAAATAAAATATTAAAAATGTAATAAAATATAATGTAACTTTTATCTTTTGCTTCTTTATTAATATGTAAATAAAAAAAATTCTCAACTTGAATTCAATAATTTTTTAGAAAAATAAAATTTAAAATCATGTATGAGTTCTTGATAACCATCCATATTAGATGATACAGGAATAATTAAAGCATCAGAATTTTCATTAATGCCTTCTTGATCATTTTTTTAATAATTTTTTGTAAAATGAATGCCTTCATTAGAAGTAAAAGTAAACTGCTTAATTGAAATTTTATAATGTTCACTACTACGAGATTGAAATAAAAGACAGCATCACATAAAAATTCTATAAAGAAACCCTTGTGGTGTATTAATAGAAACCTTCTTATATTGAAAAATCTTTTAATTTATTATCTGTCAAATAGTCATGATGTTATGAAACAATATTTTTTTTTAATTGTTTTAATTTTTCATTTAATGCATTATAGAGTTGTGCAAATTCTTGCCAATTTTCTAAATTAAACTTCATAGTTCTACAAAGGTGCTTTAAAATATATACACTTAACAACCTAATACAATTCATTAATGATGATAATGAATATTTTTGTTGTATACAAATTGTACAAATTCCAAGGATAAATTCTGTTATCTCATACTCTAACTGGTTCTTATCTGTAATAGATTCAACTCTATAATCATAACCAACATCAGATTGCCAGGCTTTTAAAATTCTAACCTACTTTGCTGTTGTATTTCATGTATTTGCAGAGATCGTACTATTAATAATTTTATTAATTTCATTACTTGTTGGCTTGTAATATTTGGTTTTATTAATGTTTATCATTTTTTTTTTAGTATAAGTAAATGAAACTCAAGAGTGAAAGAAAGAAACATTTAAGCATAAAAAAAAATCTATATATATATATATAATTTAATTTACATTATTAATTAAAGTTTAATTTTCATAATAAGTAAACCCGATCATTATAGAATATTGAATAATATCATTATTGAATGCTCTGCACCAATAACTAACATATCTGGTGAAAAATTTGATCATGAGATGTAACAATAATATTATGATTACACAGATCACAATATATTTGTACTACTTATTAAATAACTATATATTATCTATTATGATAAAATTTTGAACTATTATTATATTTAAAAAATATATACTTATATATGTTACAAAGTTTTTTTAAAATGGTTTAAAGTTTTTTAGATAATACAAGAGTACTAAATTTGATTAGTTAATTTATATAACTCTATAAACTAATTTAATTAATAAATTTTTATATTCAATTTTTAAAAAGTTATATTTTACTAAGTTTTTAATTAAATTTAATAATTTTATTATTATTAAAATTAGAAAATCCTGTTTATAAACTTTTTTTATAAATTAATATTAGTTTACTTTTTTTTTTTTTAAATATTAAGATAAATACTTGTGACCCAGGATTTTATTGATAGTATATTTAGCTAATGGTTGCATTACAACTACAGGAGGCAACTATAGAAAGAGTGTACAACTAGCCACTCATACAACTTTAGTCATTGTCTAAT